AAAACTCCAGCTTCATGGTGCTGTTTCTGTGGTAGCTTTGGAAAAGTCACAAGTAAGACCTGTGAATGAAAACTGTTAGAACTAAGACTCTGAAATGATTATTGTATTACATATCAAGTATGTAATTCTTTTGGGTGTGGGTTTATCTGTAAAACCTGACCAGCTGTAGAATGTCCTGTGGGGAATAACAACAGAGAACCTGTTGACTTGAAGCAAACTGAATAGACAAGTCGGTGGACACATGCAGAAGCAGTTTTCTTCTATTATAAGAGTGTTTGAGTCTGTTCTATCTATTAAATACAGTCTTTGTGAAATATGTACATCTAGAGTGGGGTGCCCAAACTTTTTTGTCCTAAAGGGCCGAAGTACAATGTTTGTGGTGGGCCAATAGGCAGAAAAGGACTAAACAGTGTACAAATAAAGAAGACTAGGTAGTAGTTTTTGATTATAACATTACACTATTTTTTAAAATTTTTTGGCTAAAATCCTTCAAAAATGCAGTTATAAACTGAAAATAGCATTTTAGTAAATGAGCATTTTAGTAAATTCTGTATAGTAAAAATGTGTTTGTTTCCTCTTTGGGTGATGGGATAGGGTTATAGAAACTTTCTGCTGGGCCAAATCAAACGTCTTCACTGCCCAACTTTGGCCTGTGGGCAGCACTTTGGGCAGACTTGCTCTATATTAGTCAAATCTGGACCTTGAAATCTAATTCAGTCCTGGATTTTGTAAAAACTGGTAATTTACTGAACGGTTAATCTAACTGGTTGGACTTGTTAAATTTCTCAACACTCCTGATAGGGACAGGACGGTGGAAAATCTATAATACTTGACCCTGTGATTTAGTATGACGAACTGTGTTGAAAATCTCTGAGTGTGTGCAAATACAGAGTCCAGGCAGCCTTTAATCCAATTGTGCAATGAAAAAATTCAAATAAAGTTTACTGAAAGCCCCAAATCATCCCATAAACAACGCAAGGCTTGTTAATGCCATAAAACCAAAAGCGCTTAGGCGTAATTAAACACCCTAAATAGTTTTCATGGCTGAGTGAAAACAATGTTTACAGAAGGTTTTGTTTGCACTTCATATGGCTGTAATATGGGCTCTGTGTACAGAGAGTGAAACGTTAAACCATGCTTGTGTTCTTCAGGCCTGGCCCAACAAAAGCCAAGTGTGAAGGAAACACTGATCGATCTGTAAACACTTAAACAGGTGTGAACTGAAGTGTCTTGTTATCCATCCATCCATCCACATAGCAGAGTCTTTAACTTTATGAGTGTGTCTCTTAATGAGCACTGGAATTATCCTCTCCTGCTTGTGTTTGTTTTCCTTCTGTCCCTCATCATCAATCATGGCTCTAAGGAGCACGTGGCAGGAGCAGATTCTCAGTGCCCTGGCTTTGTGATGGCGTCACACTGAAACTACACATCTATTATGCAGGCAGCTACGCATTAATCTTTTAAATCAGCCTTCAAATTAACCTACATCCTCCTTTTACGGTGGGCTGTGATGCTGAGAGGAGCGTGCTCCTTGCTGCCTTTGATATGCCTCAGCCATACTCACGCTCTTTAGAATAGTCAGAGTGCCCTCCTTTGTCCGGTCACTGTATTGCACATGGGCAAAAAAGAAGCAGATCAGGTTTCTGTGGATGTTTATGGGCAAAGAAACATATGTGGCTAACCACGATACTACAATAACTGCTGTTAAATGATCAAAGGTATATTTGAAAGGAAAAACAGGCACATCAGTAATAAAAAATGTTCAAGTTTTTGATTAAAACGGAAAAACCCTACAGCCTTTAATGGCTACACAAACTCAGACAAACCACACAGTGGCAACCAAACTTACTGAAAGCTCTTTTAGAAAGCCATTTAACCATTTGTCAAAACTCTCCTTAATCCTTATACAGTGATGGCGAAACAAGCATTCAGGCACTTTTGTTTTTGTTATTTAATATACCTCCAGTGCATATATTCACTTCAAATTGGCACACATCATGTCTTTTGACTTTGTACTGTGAACAATGGGCTTCATTTACCAACCGTTCTTAAAAAGAAACCTCTTTATAAAACCCACTTACACAATTTTTACTAATGTTCTGAGATTCACCAATGTTTTATTTGCTCTGAGGTAAGAACAGAATCTATACACACTCAAGCGTACAAAGGTGCGAACAATTCTGCAGTTTAAGAACTCGTCATGAGTCTGATGTAGACTTTTTCTCTTCTCAACCTTTCTCAAGAACACATTTAAGAAAAATTTCAATAATACATACATAATGAAGGATTTGTTTCATAAAAACAAAATTTATAGGTTAAAAAAAGGATTTAGACACCACAAATCAACAACATTAGTACTTTCTTGCAAAGCTGTTGGCAATTGCATCTACAATAAGAAGTAATTAGCTTTTGTGGTTCAATTTTGGAAATCTTGGCGTCCGACTGATGGCCTAATTTCAAAGTTCCCAAAGGTTACAAGGGTTCTGCTGATGGCCATAAAATTTCAAAGGGATTCAATTCAGGAGATTAGCTATGCCATCCAAGCACGTTCGCCTTTTTTTGAGAAACCAGTCTTGAGTTATTCTGGCTGTATGTTTGTTGTCATTGTCTTGAAACGTCCATTTCCTCCCCAGATTCTGTTTCTTGGCTGATCAAAATAAATTATTTTCTAATATATTCTGGTATATCACTTCATTCATATTTCCTTTATGGGTATGGTTTTCTAAGCGCAACTCTTATTTCTCTGAATATGGCGAGCTGAATTCACATAGTGTCAGATAGTTCTGTTTTTGTTTAGTCTGAGCAGAGTACATTGTTCCAAGAAAGCTCTGATATGTCTAAATACTTGCGTGCAAATTTTAGATATGCATCTCTGTGCTTCCTTTTTAGCAAAGGTGTGTTGCATGGGGGTGTAGGAAGAGTTCATTGCTAGCGGTGCATTTCATTGCTTATTGTTCTCTGTGTTTCTCTGTGATTGCTGTTCCTGCTGCTTTCAGGTCGTCCCGCAACTCTTTTCAAGTGAATGCTGGCTTCTCTCTTACCTTTCTTACCTAATCTGATACTGGTTTGTGAAATCTTACATGGTGCACCTGTCTGGAGATGATTAGTTTTAGTTCCATGAGCTTTTGGCCTGCATATTATCGAACCAATTGCTCTGTCTGGCATGTTTGAGGTGTTTGCTAGGGCTCTGTAGCTTTTTCCATTCAAGTGTTATTTAATAATGTTGTCCCTGAGATCTTTAGGAAGTTCCTTCACCTTCAGCATGATTGCATAAAATCTTCCCGTATTGCAATTTGTTTGTGCAGCATTAATGTCTAGAACTTCACCTCTGCATTTAAATCATCTGTACAGTGAAACACCACATACACACTAGTGAACACACACACTAGGGGGCATACTGAGCACACTTACCCAGAGTGGTGGGCAGCCCTGTCCACACTGGGAGCAGTTGGGGATTAAGTGCTCTTGATCAAGGGCACTTCAGTCACGTCCTGTCAGCTCTGAGGATCAAACCGGTGACCTTCCAGTCACAAGGATGGTTCCCTAACATCCAATATGTATATTGAATACAGTGTTTGAAGACTTGTTTCGTGTTCATTATGTTTTTTAAACATGTCTTTGTTTATTCCTATGAGTACATACTTTTTTGTTCATATTTACACAGTACAAGTCAAAAGACATTATTAAATTGTATATATGCACTTGAAATACATATTAAATAAAAAAATAAAATGTTTTTTTAATGTCAATATTTAAATGACAATGTAGCCTGGCATGGTGTGAGAACACTGTGGCACCGTGTTAACCTCAGGTGAATCAAGAGAGTACATGCTGATATTTGCAATAAGGCCTATGTCATGGCTTTCTGGGGAAGCATCTGTAGGTTTCTGTAGTGGTTGTTCTTCAGTAATTTCAGACTTTTGATCCTCCCTCTCAGAGTCCACCTCAATTTCTACTATTTCGCACTCTTCACAGGTCTCTGAAAAGCTGGTGAACCACTTCAAGAGAAGGAGAAAAAGGATGAAAGGATGAGTAATATGTTCTCCAGCATGATATATTGTTCTGTGGAAGGCCGCATCACTTGTACTGGACTTACCTGGAACTGTTCAATGTTTAAAATTCTCTCCTGAGTGTGCTTTGGATCTGGAATTATAGGAAGGACAAGTCTTCTTACCCTTTGAGGAGAGATTTATCACATCAACACACAGGCCTATCCAGGTCTTATCCACTGTTTTTTTTTTAACTTTGTGTTCAAAAATACAAGAGACTCTTTAAAACAAGACAGACTGCAACAACTACTTTGTAGGAGGTGAATAAGAAAAGATCCAGGAACTTACCGCTCCTGAGTTATTGCAAAGACAAGCAGCAAGCATGTCACTGGCAGTACAGTGACTAACAGATAGTCCCTGATGCTAACTGGTGATGTTTCTGCAATGCAGAGACCTGTTGGAAAACAGTAAGCTGTGTAAAGCCTTAATTTTGACTAGGTCTTTTGTTGGTAGAGTCAAAATTGGTGTGTCTGCTTAACCATTTCCAGACCTGTCCTCAGTGAAGCCCAGTAATTGCAGTTTTCATCCTATACCTAGTTTAACTGATCAGCCCTTTATTAAATTAAATCAGGTGGGCTGCTGGTGGTATTTTTCGAGAAAATTTATTGTTCATTTCTTTTTCTGTTTGTCATTTTTGCTGATTTTTTGTTTCTGGAATTTCTCTTTTGCTTCTGACTTTTGGCACATTTTCGCAGGAAGTGGGTCTTAGAAGAAGGCATTCACCAGCCTAGTCTCTTGGTTAAGTGGTTTTGAGTTACATAACAGAAACAGAGCCATGGCCACTCAATGAGCTGTGAACCACCCCAACATAGCTAAACGTATCATACTGAGTGCAGTATTGCACAGTATTGAACAACATTATGAGCAAAGTATGTCATTCCTTTTATGTTTAGGGTCCTGTTCATAACTCCCAGAGTGTAATGGCCAGCTATGACTTGTTAACTTAAAAAAATGTCCCTTTTGTAGAGATGAAACATGACTGTCTAGCAATTATTTCATGGCAGTAGTAACTTGCAGCTGACAGTAATCAGTGGTATTTTCCACTCTTTACTGAGATTGTGTGCTAGTGCTACCTTAACATTATTTCCCCTGACCCCCAGCACTGCAGGTTCACCTGCCCCAACACATCTTATTCAGCTCATGAAGGGCTCGATAATCAGTTGATGAGCTCAATCAGGTATTTTGAAGTAAGAAATGGTTGAAAGCTTGTGGAGCTTTAGGCTACCAAAAGTGAGGCTTAGAAAACTGATTTTAACAATTGTAAATCTTACAGGTAGCCCTTTAGTGGACACTTCTATGCTAGTTGGCATTGGCAGCTGGTACAGCTTTGTTCAACTATGTTTACCTATTATTCTTCCATTTCCAAAATATACACTTTTTACACAGATAGACACTTTACCCTGAGTGTGTGACACATTAATAACTTTTAAAAAATATGCCAACCATTGCTCATAATGCTGGACGTATGTAACTGTCTTTGGAAATACTGCCCTCAGCACAAGGTGTATGCTGGGGGCAGTTCACATCTCATGAAGTGGGCGTGGCTATGTGTCAGAAGACCTGTCACTCCAAATCAGTTGACCAATAGAGAGTACAGGTGAATGCCCTCTTCCAAGAACTGCCCCCTGTTAAAAAGTGGCAAAAGTCAGAAACCAAAGACATATTTCAGAAGCAAAAGAGGGATTTCAGAAAAAAATTAAAGCAAGGGCTGTGAAAATGAGTAATAAATATATGTCAAAATGAGTTGTAATCTTTATACATTCATTTTACTTTTAAAATGAAAACAGTATAATAACATTCTGATCTGCACTTAGGGGCTGTTTGAATTTTAGCACTAATCAGCAACAACAAATAAACACTTTCACAATCTTAAAAGTAGGTAATATTAAGTTAAAAAACATTTAGTGATTAGATACTGAATGAGGAAACCAGTGATTTTGCTCATTTGATTGTGTTTTAAACATGCAGAGAAGAACTTGTTTCATTGTATTTGATTGTGTTATTGATGAGCAAAAATGATAATAAAGGGAAAAAGTTAATTGTTGACTGCTGGTAAGGACGGCTTGCACAGCCGATCTAAATAACAATTTCTCCTTGCTCTGAGACAAAAATAAATTAAATAAAAAAATTAACAAAATTGAGGTCAATACAGAGACAAACTCAAGACTATTAGACCGCACGGCTTCACCTGTGTCATTCCTCCAGTATTTCTCTGGACTCCATTTGCTCCAGTTCCCATTGATACAATACAGCCTTGCTCTTATTCTGAAAACATAGTTCTTCTTCATATCTGGAGCAGGCAGCTTAAAGGAAAACCCTTTAATGTCATTAACACTCTGTAAAGTATATGGATTAAAAAAAAATCTGATTAAAACTCACAGTGAGATAAACCACATCAAGAAATTTAAGCTCTTATATTTGCACACTTACAAATCTCATTTTTAAAACAGTTGGGGCACTATGTGAAATGCTAATAAAATCAGAAAGCAGTGATAAGTGATAGTAATAGTAAATACACACTCATTCCAAATTTGATGCCTCAAACATGTTGGTATTTCAGAGGAAGTGGTGCCTTCACACATGTGAAAGTTACCCATGAAGTCTGAAAGGTTGATTTGAGTGTTATTATGCACCATAGAGAGTGAAATCCTTGCAATTGCTTGTTGACGATGCTCGATGTTCATAAACTGTTGGTTTATTCGCTGATGCTTGCCTTGATCCTTTCTTACGTATAAAGGACTACACCTTTCCTGGATGCTCCTTTTATAACCAAGCATGACTGTATCAACTGTTTGAAATGTTTTTTTGAACATTTCACATGATCCATGGTCTTAAGTTATCACTGTCCCAACTTTTTTGAAGGGAGCAATTTGAGAATAAGTGTATATTTACAATGAAGTTGGTCTTGATGTTGTCTTTGTAATGTGTTCTTTGTAAATACAAGCCAATGTGGGTTTAAAAAATACTGCTTTCTGTTTTTATTTTCATTTCACATACTGTGAACTATTTTGGAATTGAGGTTTGAATATATGCTTGCTAATAAAAAACGATCTATGGTAATACTACAGGAATTACAGAATTCCTCTAAGAATGTCTTAGTAAATTTAGATAAATACTATAGTTTACTATAGAATACTACCTAAGTGTTACAGATTACTGTAAGACAGAACCGAAACGTGAAAATGCTTCAATTGATTGATATAGAAGGATGATACAGCACCATAGCAATCTTATAGTTACTTATTGTTTTACAGGTTTTTTGAGTTTTTGTGAAGAACAGCCCTGTATAGACAGACAGCCCTGTATAGACAGACAGTACCTTCCAGGATGAATCACAGAGATGCCTGTACTGGACATCAAATCTGTAACACTGGTTGTTCTTGCTTTTGTTTGGATTTTCCCATGTCACCGTTATACTATCTGACGTGTTACTAATCCTCATATTAATGGAGTCTGGATTGATAAAAAAAAAATAAAGAAAATAAAGAGAAATAAAAAGAAATGGTTAATTAAACATCCTGATGATTCATATTCCATCTGATAATAATCACGGGACAAAGTTACACCATGTATCATACAGACGTTTTTCCCTTCATGCACAGGATACCCACAGTAGCTTGTGAACACCAGTGACTTTTGATGTGGCTTCTCACTCAGCTGTCTTGCCGTGACGCACCTAACCTTATCACTGCTGTCTCAATGACTTCGGCACAAGTTTCTCCACTATAATGCAGTCTATGTGGTGAGACGCTCCTCCCTACTTGCATTTTACATTCCTCAATCTGTGTGAATCTGTTAGAAAAACTGTTCTGTTGTTTTAAGTTAGAACATTAATGTGTTGTTGTAGATGCTTTTGTATAATCAGTTTATATAAATAGAAATGGGGTGAAGGAATACTGGTGTATTCAGTTGCTAAACAATGTCCTACTCAAAAAATATAGTATTTAACAGTATTTAACAGCAACTTACTTACTACTCAACTGTACTGGTTAAGCAGCTACAGCCTCTTAACATACGTAATTAATACCAGTATTCATCAAACTTGTATTATCTATATTAATCTGGCCAGCCCCAATCTCAGCAGTTTTTAATTGGGGAAAAAATATACAAGCTAAGTGAAAAACTAAACAGACTCACCTGCTGAAGAGCTTTCTGCCCATATTTGAAAGCAGAGGACCACAGACAGGACGAGCAGGACCCAGCGGTTCCAGCACTGCATGACTGCTCTTCTTCACAGTCATTGAGTGAAGTGATCTCACCCTCTCCTACATGAAGAAAGGATTGCTGCGAGATGTGTATCACCACCACTAGAGTAATTCTGCTTTCTCACTATCACTTCCTTCCTTTCTACACCTGCCTGTAATCTCTTCATGGGACAGCTTACTGCACAGCTTCTAGCATACCCTCCACATATATATGTATATGTGTATATATATATATATATATATATATATATATATATATATATATATATGTATATATATATATATACACACACACACAAAATTTAACTGCAGTCCATATGAGGGTTCATAAAAGTGTTTTTAATTTACAAAGGAAAAAAAGAAAAAAAACAAATGGATCATGTTGAATGTAAATGTCTGACTTGGTTAACTTTATCAAATTTTAAGAATTACATTTTATAAGCATGACAAACTTACGTAAAAGAACAACAAAAAAACACAACAACAACAACAATGAGTTAGAAGTGCTGGCTGAAGTAGTCCTGCCATGCAGGATCACAGTGTGGGAAACAGTCATTAAAGCTTTAAGTGGGGGGATTTCCTAAGAACGTTTGGCCTTTGACATTATTATAGGCTTTTACTGTGTCTATGATCTTGTTTGTACAATGTTAAACTGCCAGTAAACACCCACTCTGTGATTTTAAGGTGTGTGTGGTAGGGGGTGCTAAATTTTTTTCTTACTGTGAAAAATTCATTGATGAGTCAAGGGATGAGATACAAACTCAACTTATTTTCAACTCAGTTTCTATTAACATCACTAAGTATCTTTTTATTTATGTCAAACATAACATTCACCTCAACCCAATATCTCAACTTAACTCTATTCACATCACTTTAACGTTTGTCTAACTCTAAATGTAACATTCGCTTCAAACATAACAGTCAGCTTAACCCCAATGACTCAACAGAACTCTCTACCTGGTCCTAATCCTAACACTGCTGTCAAGAATCAACTTACTTTTCATGGAGTTTCACTGGACTATCCAAATAAAATGAAGCTTACAAATGTACTTACCAAAGAACGTTTTGATCTATTCCAGTGTTTCACAGGCAACACTCTTAAAAATAAAGATGCCAAACAAGGTTCTGATGTTCGATGATTAGTTCTGGATCTCAAATGCCATCCCACCTCATCCCAAAGGTACTGAATGGTGCTCTGTTACTCAGTGAACGTAATGTTTACTGCACTGTAATAAGTGGAAAAAGCACAAGTTGATGTAAACTGATGTAAAATTTTGCTTCACTTCATTTCATTCAAAATACTTTCAGTTCATTTTGGTTGAGTAAACCCAGTTAAATTGCCTGTTACCACATGAAGTATTTTTTAATAATAGATATCTTTCTAGAAAAGGCTATACTGGGATCACATCATATGGCTTCACAGTTGTATGCAAAAGTCACATATTCTGTTGATTTTTAAGTCAAAAGAAGAGAATTGCTACTTTATTGTTGATTAACTTAAAAAAATAGTAGTTGTAACATGCAAAAGTTTGGTCACCCTACTTAATCAGTACTTTAATCAGCAACACCCCCTTTGGTATCACAGCTATCATAGCTTGCAAACTCATTTTGGTGGCCAACTGTGAGACTTTCTATTCCTGTTTTAGGATTTTCACTCTTTGTTTCTAGGTCTACGATTCTTGACCCAACTCGCATGCACAGTATTTAAGGTCTACCCACAGATTTTTGTGTTGTAGAATCAGCTTCTTTTCAGCTTTAGGTTGTCACTGACTGTTTCACAGTTACTCCCAGACTTTGCTGATATTTAGTGGAGCTACTCGTACAGTTCCCTATGCCACACAACCACAAAGCATAACAGATCCACCCCCGTGCTTAACAGTTATTCTTTTCATCAAATACTGATCCTTTTTTCCCCAGGCATACTTTTGGTGGCTGTGGCTAAGGAATTACATTTTTACCTCATCAGTCAGCAGCACTTGTTTGCAAAATTCCTCTAATCCAGCACACCTGGCTCTAATGTTCAGACACCCCTGAAGGCCTCCATTACCAGGATCAGGTGTGGTAGATTAAGTGTGTAGCTAAACTCTGAACCCCTGCTTTAGATGACGTTTGTGATGAGGTCACAAGTAAGGGATCTTTGTGATGACTCTTCCATGCAGATCATGTTTTAGCAATGCAGCATAGCAGAACGTTGCACCAGCACTCTTTTGTCAGCTAAACCTTCTTCAGGTCCTTTTCTATCATATCGGGGTTTTACTTTTCCAGATCCGGCTTTGACTTCCACAGTTACTGACGGACCCTTCTTAGTGACATTTCGGAAAGTAGAATTTGTGAGGTTTGACGTCCTTTTTTTTATAGCCTTCTTTCCTGCTTTGTAGGCCAGTCAGGTCAAGTCATGTCAAAGTTTATTTATATGGTGGTATTTACAACTGCTGTTGTCACAAAGCAGCTTTACAGAAAATTTTGGGTCCAAGCCCCCATGAGCAAGCCATGGGTGACAGTGGCAAGGAAAAACTCCCTAAAAGCAAGAAGAGGTAGAAACCTTGAGAGGAACCAGAGCAAAAAAGGGGAATCCATCCTTCTGTGGTCGACACCAGATAGCAAAACAATTACACAAGAGTAGTATGAACAGGTGTGAGGTTTTACCATTAGTTTAAAATATTAAAAATAGCAATAGGCATCTGTTGGCTACATTTTCAGATTCTCAGCCAGCTGCTTAGAGGAGCCCATGGTTGTTAAGTGTAAGGCCAAACTTGGAAGAGTCAGATAATTTAGTACGGTCTGGAATTATCATCAGCTGACAATTCCTAATGACAATAATTGACAATTAAGTCAAGTAAATTACGTTTTGTGACTTTACAACTGGAAGTGTCCAAACTTTTGCATATGCCACAATTACTATCTTCTACTTTTAAAGCGAATCAAGTATAAAGTAACTGTGTGTTAACGTTAGCAGAAAAATATAATTTTTTGAAATAGTTCGCTGCAGAGGCTGTGCTTATTTCTTTTCACCTCAAAAATGAACAAAATACATCATTAGGCCAAGGGTACACAAACTTTTGCATTTTACAATCAATCTATCAATAATCAAGAAAAATGAATGATAATACAATTAGTTAGAACCGACAATGATGTATAAAGACACACCGTTTTAAATGAACAAGAACACACTGTGTCACTGATGCCAAGAATTTTCCACCTGCTAAACGTGAGTGAGTGGGTGAGTTTCAATCCAGTTCCATAATGTGCTTTGCACCTTAAAAATGCAGCTGTAATTTTTGGTTTAGGACAGTTCATATCCAATAGAAAGTACTCTATAAATGCTGATGTTGGATATATTTAAATTGTTACTATCTCAATGAATGCCCTGGGTTTAAAAAGGCCATAACATGGTAATTAGTTTCTTTAAACTAATTTTTCAAAGCGACATGCTAACACTGTTCCACTAAGCTTACATCTTGGTTTCCCAGAAGAATTCTTATTCTGTTACCTATTTTATCAGCCTGAGGCATCAGAGATTTCTCTGAACATCCTACCACAGTCTAAAAAAACTCCCCCTGCACTGTTAACGAAGGAGAGAAGATTGACCAGATAACCAGCTGAGTAATAAAAGCACCAAGCAAAGTAGTCTTAATGTTACAGCAAACTTAATGTTCTAGCATTAAAGATACACTTCAATATTCACGGATTAAGTGTTTGTTACCACCACCAAAATAGAAATGTATTTATATTGAAATACATAAGATACAAAACAATACTATTTTTTCCTCCACAAAATAGTGATGTGACTGTCCAAAAAATGTGTGTAGCATATACATCACATACCAGGTCATGTGACAGTATATCCTTTAACCTAACAGAGTTTTAACAACAACAACAACAACATGAACATGTAGCCCTGCTGATATAAGCTTCAGTGTTGAAACCTGCAATGTTGAAACCAAACTGCAATTTATCTCCACACAGTGCGGGAAAACTATAATTTTAAAATGTTTTTTTTTAGGTTTTTGTCAAGAATCTTAGTCACTTGTCTACAAAGAGAGGATGTGAGAAACTAACATAGTCATAATATCAGTCAAGATAACATTCAATGCACCATAAGGGGGAAACCCTTTGTAGAGGGCACCACTCATAATGTTTTTAGCATGTAACCAATCAGTGGGGGGAGGGGCTGCTACTCAAAGCTAGACAGCTGCTAAAACAGATTAACAGATCTAGAAATGTGACTGGAGAAATTATCATAACACGCTATCTTCAAGCTCTCCAATGAGGTTTGAGCTTTCACTATTTGTTAGTTACACAGTGCAGTTACATGAGTTTCTGTGCAGTACATTTGGGATATTAGTATGCAGGTAACTACATCCCTTCATTTAATTAGGTTTATATCACCACCTACCGTTTGTCTTGAGTGATGCTTGCACATGCATGTTTCAGCATTCGGTATCAGTCACTCAGTCTGTGACTCAGTAAAAGACAGCAACTTTACAGGCTGGCCTGCTGGGTGGTTCAGCAAAAATGGATGACGTTGAAGTCTTTGCTTCCAAATAGCGTTGGGAGCTAATCCCAAAACCTATGAGTTCCTCGATTCAGGCATTCAGGAATTGAGACTCAACTCTAAAGCTTTGGACAAAGTTGCCAGCACCAATGTGCACACAGCGCAAGATATCCTGCTGTCATTGTCTAAACAGCCTGTAATCCCTTCAGACACATAGTAGTTTAGTTGTATTTTGCTTTAGACAAAGTGGAAAACAAAGTAAAATGTAAAATTTGTATTAAAAATGGCACAATCAAACAACGTCAGCGCCAAATTATCTACCCACCTGAAGGAGTTCTCAGAGGAGAATCAGGTACTGTTTAGCCCTCTTTATTCATAAGTTAATGTAGCTAGAGTTAGCTTTCCAAATTTCTTTCCTAAGGTGAATATAATTAATATTGTACAATTTATTTTTCCAAGGTGTTCTTCTCTATGTCTTGTTTTTTTCTCTTTTTTTGGAATCAATATTATTGTGTGGAATCGACTCATGGAATCAACTCCATCCATTCCCATTACTTGGTATCAGAATTGGAGATGACTCCAAAGAATCTGGA